CTCTCCTCTAAGATTATGGAAGTGTTTGGCCGAGCAGATTGCAATCAGCCTGACCTTTCCAGGCTCTGGCGAAGAATAAGTTCACCGATATGTCATTGATGGTGATAACATCATAACAATCTCGTTTCTGCTCATCACCAAAACATTGAGTTATGACCGATGACGAGGTTAATGAAAAGCAAATTGTGGGATGCCTCAGACTGAGTTTTCAAGACTTCTAGGGCTTGTCGAGCACAGGGCGTTGTTAATCGATGCAAGTACGAACAAATAAAAAAAAATTACCTGTTGTGAGTGCTTTCTTCTCACTGTAAGGTTGGCTAAGATCAAAATTTTAACGGATTGAGCTTCGTTCTCCGTTCTTCATTGTTTTTGGCAGGTTTGATTCAAGTATGCGAAAATCCAACTACGAGTTAATGTGCATGATTTGCTGTCATCCTAGCTCACAATTCAACCTCTTGGTGACAAATCTCCCTTTGATTAATGGCTCGGCGAAGATTTGTGAAGACGATCTTATATAGCCGAAGCATTATACACGTATTTAGGAAGTTGTTGGACTTTATAGAAGCTGCTAACAATCTTTCAACAAGCTGTACCCTGACGTGTAATCCATGCATAGCCTAGTTCCGGTGCAACGTCTTTTCTAAGCATTTTGCGCTAACCACTCTATATTCGGTGGCAAATCATGCTGATTTCAGCACTTTTCGTTCTTTTCGTTTTATTGAATCCTCCATCGACGAAGATGGTAGAATTGGGAGCTTAAGAGGCTTAAGAGTGGGGGGTGGGGGGACTCTAGCGTGGATGAATATCCTCATAATTCCCACTTTTCGTATTTTTATAGTTGACCATTTTGGCCAAATTGACAAATCGGCACATGTTGCAAAATCCGCAACTATTTTTGCACTTTCTTGCATTCTTATTTTGCATATAGCTTAGGGTAAGGCTCAGGCTTAGGTCTTTATTTCGGTTTTAGGCTTCGGCTTAAGTTAAGGTATAGGCTTAGGCTTCAGGCTTTGAGCTTAGGCCTAGGTTTAAGCTTAAACTTGGCTTAGGCTTCGGCGCGAGCACTTACGTCATTCTCTAACACCGGCGCAAAGTTGAATCTCGTGACAGCCAACGTCACCCGGCTGTCAGCTGGATGGGGTGCGGTGTGAGACCTTCGCTAAAAATGCTCGAAATCTTGACTTGAGGCGTGTTCGGATGTGTTTTGGCAATATGGTAAATCAACTGTGATCGCGAAATCCGCAACTTTTTTTGCACTTCGCTTCTTCTTTTGACCATAATTCGGCTTAAAATACATGAGGACCAGCTAGACTTCACTCATTCGTCTATTTATCCATCCATATATCTACATATGTTGAAATCTCTCAAATTGGTGATAGTGACTTTTTCTCGAAAAATTTGCTATAAAATTTTGGGGCTTAAGAATTATGCCCGGTGAGGCTCAATTTTATCTGTAGTGCTTTTTTTCTGTCTAAACTTTCATAATCTTCCCTTTTACTCATTTTTTGTTTGCATCCGATTCCTCACTCTTATAGCTTTGAAAGCATTTTAAAAATATTTTGGTATCGCGCTATTTTGTTTATATTTCTCTGTTACTAGACCATATTGGAAAAATCTGGAAAAGATTCTCCATATTCGTTTTCCATTCAAAATGAAACATTCAGAGTGGCTTTGCTGATTGATGGGTGATTTATCAAGTCAGTTGTGCTATCATTCCAGAAAAGTCTGTTCCCAATTCGTCGTCCTCGAAAGAATGGAAGGCTTGGTGAGCATAAGACTTGGGGTCTAGCAATGACCACCTGTGCTGCAGTGCGTCTTCATCACTTTTGCTTGTGATAAGAAAGTGCATTCTCATTTCATTCTCATTTGAGTTCTCATTTGGATTTTAACCCATATATTTAGTCAGCACAAAATATATTCTATGTGTAACAAGGACTGATTTTTGTAGTTGGAAAATTGCAAACTAGCCCTAGCTGAAATAGTCGTGCAGGGTTTGAAGCTTTCAACTTTTTAACCTTTTCGTAGGTACAGCTTGTCTTTCGATGTTTTTCACTTTACTGAGCATATGAGTGTAGCGCAGTGATGAGAGATGTTGCAACATACATATGGCCTTTTAGTTCGATCAGCGGACTCAGGCACAGCAGGCTTTCCTTACGTCTCTTATGTAGAAATTGGTACCAGACTTGTCTCAAAGGGAAAAAACTGCCTTAATACACGGATAAATTAAAAAGGAAAAAGATTTATCGAGACTTGAAATTTCACACTCTCGCTAATTGAAGTCTGAGAGATTGTTTGAAAGTGAATGCTTTTTTCGTTGTAGTTGATACTTTTTTAGGGTTCCAAGAAGCCAAATCACCGTTGTTTTACTTTTAAGAGTATCTTACTACTGCGTCACCCCACTTACCACATCATTTGTGATAAAACTTTGGAACATTGGAGTGCAATCACTGTTATAAGCTTCGACGTTTGTTCCTTCCTTCACTCAAATTATGGAGAAATGAACTGTACTGAAAACGAATGTAATTTGTTATTTGAAATGGATAGGTTAACTAATAAATTTGAATTTGAATGTCTCTATGATTCAATTATATCAATTTAGCTCCTACCACTCCTTATTTAGATTCAAAGAGGCGAAAGTGTGGCCTTTCGAATAATGGTAGTTTATTTATCTTGACGACATAGACTGCTCATCATTGTCAACGAATTTTAATGCATCTACTGACACAATTTCTATCAGACTCAAACGACATCTATTTTTGATTTTTTTGCTGAAAATTCTTCTCTTAAACCCACTGGAATCCTGTAGTTGCTGCTATTCAGTTGGCATTTTATGAACAAGAAACCCTGATCGCAGTACCATAGATTCCTATTGAATCCAAATTGATTGGCGAAAGTGTGAGAAAGTGATTTAATAATAGCTCATCTATACGTACTGGTTGAAGTAACATATCTTTTTCATGTTTCTGATTACATGCTGATAAATTTAACGTTGCCACATAAAGTCGTGAGTAGTCTTCGAATCATAAAGAACTAAAAATGAAGTCTTCGGAGTTAGTTAGCTTTTGAGAATTGTGCCGTGCACTTCATTTCATTAAGCATCCTTAGAGATGAATAAATTCATATCCATCCTAGAAAATGCTAGTAGTGGTCTGCCAATGTCTCACTTCGGTTCTGTTATGATCTTTAGACAAGTTTGGTAAGAAGTTGTCGATCCAGTAGATATGAAAAGTTTGACAAGTTCTGCTCTCAGTAACGAAGTTTGATGCAACGACGTGAAAGGAAGCGAAAAAAGCGCAAGTTGAGTCAATTTAGTGCACTTGTATGCAAGTAAAAAGCACTCAATGTCCCAGAGTGTACTAAAGAAAGAGTTAGTCTTTAGAAAGCTGCTCTTTTTTAGAAGAACGAAATTCCCAGGAGTTTCTCTAGAGCTTTCCCACACTGCCTGGAAATTACTGGTCATTCTCTTTTCTTTTGAATCTGCCGTCTTTCGTTCGGTGTTCCTTGACGTGACATAAATGTAGCAATAGAGAATGCATACAAATTTTTTCAATAGAATTATTTGATTTTCCTGCAGTTTTTCTTGATGAGCAAAATCACATTCAAATGGGAGAGATGAAAAATTGGATTCTTACTTTATTTAAATATCAGTCTATGTCCTGACTGCGTGCAATCGCCCGTTGTCTGACCTCTTGTGCTGAGTGTTTTCATTGGTGACAACGTTGATGCCACAGCACGTCAAATTAGTGGAGTGAATCACAAATTGCACCAGTTGTGGAGTCAACATAAAATAATGTGACTGGAAGCAAAGTAATGTCGGCAAAACGATTGAAGTTAAAGTAGTGAAGAACGATTGTCGATGAGCAACAAACTAACTATTTGCCGCCTCACTATGATTGGAATTTCATGCTAATTCTCTTCTCCCGCTGAATATTTCCAGTTTTGAAGCTTCCAGTGTCACGAAGTGGAAAGACATTTTCCAACCATCATAACCGATGGGCACCAAGCCGTCAGCTGTGTAGAAATCAGCTGAAGATTTGTTGCAGGAGGTTTGCAACATGGTTTTAACAAGGACGGTGTAATAGTTCTTATGAACCTGTTTTTGTCTGAAATATCAGGCTGTTTCAGCAGCCAATAATAACGGAAGCGAGCAAATTTATTTACGTAGATGTGAAATGTTTTCGTGATTTTTGCGAAATAAATGATTCAATCAGGGTGGAATATTTTGTTGAGGAACAATGTCAACTATCTATTATTATCATCTACGATGCTGTGTACTGGTAACCATCGCCGCACAACTATTCCTGCAACTGTGGTATCTATTTAACTGAAACGTCGCATCAATGGACAACATGGCTTACATTCCTAGGATTTTTAGGTGATAACTAGTATGATAACTTGCCGTTATCGAACGCGCAGTCGAAAGGTCGATGCTAGGAGTATCTCGTATTTCGCAAATGAGACAAAGGATCCGAACTTCCGACCTACGTCAACGATCGAAAATCAGAGACGCCGTTCTACACGCCAGGATATCGAAAATAAGGTGGGCCGGACACGTGATGCGCTTCAACGACAACCGATGGACGAGAGCCGTTACCGACTGGATTCCTCGGGACGTCAAGCGCTCTAAAGGAAGACCACTGACCCGTTGGTCCGATTTCTTCACGAAAGCGATGGAAGAAAGATATGATGCTCAGCGAATTCCTAGAGCAAGGAGGACCCACTGGGCTACTCTTGCACGCGATAGGGAAAAATGGAAGAGTTGCTGGTACCCGCTCGAGTCACTCGACGATCAACGGGACGACAGGTGATACAGGTGAACTAGTATGATTATAACACTGCAAAAATGCAGTAAAAATAGAAATTTTAAATATTAGTTATCACAATGGCTGTCAGCTCAACTGGGATTATAAAGCGAAGTCGCATAACCGACCAAACCTGTCAAAGGTTGGTGGCTGATAGCTAACATAGAAATGTTGTAGAATGAGTGGTGGGGCAAATGTGCCTCGGTAGTGTAGTGGTAGAGCAAGCGTCCCCGGATAGGATGAAACGCGGTTTCGATCGATTCCCGCCCGAGGCCGTGTTTTTGCTCGCCGCTCAATTCTCCTAGGATTACATGAACGATTTTAACACTGCGAGAAATGCAGTAAAAATACTAGAAACTTCATGTAAAGTTCAGTTGTTGTTTGACGACATTATAAAGTCAATATTATGAACTCAGATATTCATGTTGTCTCTTGTTCGTCACCTGCTGGCTTCTGTTCCATGATTCCTCGTCTGGCTGTCTCGTGTTTCTTGTGTGTTGCGTTGTTCCATGCAGCGAACCCGCACGTAAACAAGAAACCCCACGTAGACCGCCACCACGTCAAAGTTCGCCAAGGACATTCACCATTCGTTGCGGCAGTAGTCATATGAATGTGGTGTTTGGCTTTATCGTCTTCATTCTTTATTAAATTTGTCAGCAGTACTTCATGAAATTATAATGTACTAGACTTCACTAAATCACTACCGATACTTCTTAGTTATAGAGGGACAAATGAAAAACCGAACTCATTCGCTCGACAGGAACTTTTCACAAACGTGTTAGTAACCTTTCGAAGGCTAAGATTTTGGTCTACATCCCACATCACTGGTTTTTCGTAACACCCTTTTATGACGCTATAAAATCCGATATATTTCACAAAACCACGTGTTTTTCTTCTTTATATCGCTTATATTTCGCTGGACAACTCCTTCTAAAGACACTAGTACTCAGTCGATAACGCAAGTCTTGAAGCACTCAAAAATATGTGTTTTTGGAAAAACTTTTTTGATAGCGCACTAGGAGTAAGAGAAGATCTGTACTTTGAACCTCAACGGATAGAGCTCTTTTTTGGATTATCAGTACACATTCGATGTCGTAAGTTTCAAAGCTTTCAACGTTGTGATCATTCTGTGGTAATCCGTTTTCAGGAAAAGTCGATCGAGTTTCACATTTCTGGCGACCTTGCTTTACAGCTAAATCACGAAGCAGAGAGGGGGGATAGATCGCGACTGAATCATTGTTATTCGATTGGAGATTTTGTCCACCGCATCGACAGAAACCTCAGATAATAATGCATGATTCTGATATTACGAAAAATTCTCTACACGCTGATAGCTTTTCGCTCTCAGCGAATTATGCGCATATAGAAATGGAGGCGCACGGCGGATGCTACGTCGTTATAAAAGAGTGTTTTGGAAAATCGGCGATGTGGAGCCCCAAGTCTTAGCTTTCGATTGGTTAATAACATTCCTATGAAAAGTTCCTGTCGAGAGAATGAGGTCGGTTTTCCGTTTGCCCCCTTATGATTGAAGAGAACTTCAGTACCCTTATTGATTTGATATTAAATAAAACAATAATCGAAAAGGTACGATTGCAAGATCTAAAGTTGATCTCGCTTCATAAATTGTTCTCAAGCTCCTTCCACTAGCCTTTTTTTTTTCTTTTCAGTTCATGCGCTTTGCAAACATGTTAAGTAAGTTTATTGTAATACCTTTTTCTCTAACCTTAATTATTTATGTAAGACTTTGAAGTGTGCAAAATAACGAATAATGAGACATCGTTGACATGATTTCTTGATCCACCCTGGCTGTTTCGTTTTTTCGCCTTTTTCATAATTAGGTTCAGGAAAAAGTTTCCTAACACCCGTTGAAAATTTAAAGTTCAGACATAAATTCAATTGAAAACAACAATAATTATTATCCAAAATAGAGACCATCATTATCCACGACTTTCTGCCAACGATCTGGAGCTTCCGGATCTATCCGAAGTCGCCATTCTTTGGACTTTGAATCAAAAAACTCCTGACATGCCTTCTCAACTTGCCCAAATGTCTCGGTTCGGCGCCCACGCAGGAAATGTTCCATTGACCGTAAAATACCTCGAATCGGACGGCGCAGCATCTGGAGTGTAGCCTGAGTGCGGCAAGACCTCGACTTCCTCCATATCGCCTTTCAATAGTCTTCTTTGCCTTGTGAGAGTTGGCATTGTCTTGCTAAAACAGCGTGCGTTTTCGACGAATGAATGTTGGGTGCAATTTATACCATTTTCGTCCGAAATATATTGCTGAGGGGGTAGGGGTAACTGAGATATTCCCATTATTTTACACTAACTGATACTGTGTGAAAGGGACATAAAATCTAAACATTTTGCGCTGTTAAGAAAGTTTTATTTCCATTTAGTATTTTTCTAACAACTTCAAATAATCTCTAAGCGTTCTCAATCTCAATAGCTTTTTCAACTTACTGACGTCGTTTGCTTCCTTACTTGCTGTATGAAAACGCTCAAATCTCTTCTCAAGGCTATCATCATGTTCATGTTTCTATCCATACCACTTTTTTTGCTTTTCAAGTTGCGCTAGAATGATAGTGGTCATCTCTGGTCTCTAAGGAATCGGCTGTATTTCTATCTTATATGAATACTTCAAGTGCCTGTCTTCATGAATTAGGGAAAATCGTGTGACCAGAGCAAAATGTTTAGATACACTGAAGATTTGTCGATTGAAAAGGATTTTCTTTTCATGCAGTTCGTGTATTTTCGCAAAACATGGATAGTCAGCGAATACCATGTTGTTGGCACAATAACAGTAACTTTAATACTCTGGGAAATAAAAATTATCTTCTACTTGGGTTTGACAGATTCTATTTTTCGGTATAAGAAGACGAGCGACAAGTTTTTCAGGAGTATGCAGGACTTCTTTTGCGCTTTCTTCGAATCGTTATACCTAGACCATCCCAATAAAGCAACAAGTCTCTAAATCTACTTATTAATTGTTTACTGATTAGTTTAAACCTCCTTTTTATTCTCAAGCATCGAGGTGAGCATGTTGTGCGTGTGAACGGAAACGCTCCGTCAAGACTCTCAGGAATTTGCGGAAAGAAGAATGATCGTAACGAATGGAATATCAATCACTTGGGAATTGTACCGGAATCCGCATTAGTTGAAAAAAAAAACACCCTACTTAGGTGTTTTCTCCAATGATCATGATACAACATTAGGTTGAGCAAAAAGTTCTGAGAAATTTTTGAAGTTTCATTTGTTGACATCTTTGTGTCGTTATTTATGGATAGTTTTGCGTATATTTTTCTAGTGCATTAATTTCACCTCCAAAATGCCTATTAAATGATAAGCTTTGTTTGTGTTGATCCATCATTTTTCATCTTTCGCACACTGCCTACAATCCAGACGTTGCTTGATCCGATTATGGCCACCTTGGATCAATGCAACGCTTTGATTAGCCGTCGATTTGAATGATTTGATGAGATTGGTGAAGCTTGTCAAGAGTTTTTGACTCAAAGGAGCCGGAATAGTACTCCAAATTTTGGAAAAAATGACAAAAAGTAGTGGATAATGATGGTCTACACTTTGATGAATAGTCAGTCTTGTTTCTGTTGTTAATTTGCTCATGAAAATGGAAGATCTATATTGTGAAGAATAGTTATTGTAGTTTTGATGATAATTTGCGCATAAAAGCGAAACTTCTGAAAATTTTACAAGACTTTTTGCTCATCTCTAAGTACAGTTTTATACCGCCATATTATAGTGTGGTACTTATTTTGCACAAAATACATAAAAAAAAACCATAACATCACAACAAAGTGATTACTCTCAACAACTCCAGAAATGAATACTTAACTGCAAACGTACGTAAAAGTTGTGGCACTTATATGTTAGAGGGAGACAAATTTTTTAAGCCGATCTCATTCGCTGTATAGGACATTTTCATAGGAGAGCTGGAAACTGTTCGAAAGCTCAAATTTCTGGCTACAACTCTACGTTGCAGGTTTTTCAAAACAACCTTTTATAGCGATGTTGCATCCGGAATAAAATTTAGTTTCTCACTCTCCTTTGGCATTCATTTTTGCCACGAGTAATTTGCTGGAAGCACGAAAAGCACATCAGCGTGTAGAGAATTTTTTTCTGTAGTATCGGATCATGCGTTTCTATTTAGAGTTTCTGTCGGCGCGGTCTAAAAACCTCCAGTAAAATAAAGGTAGTTGCCGCCGTTCTAACGCACAATGTGGTAGATCGCTATCGAGCTACGCGGTAGATCGGGTGATTACCTTACTATCAAGTCATCTCTGTGCTTCCCCTTTATCACATTCGTTTTATTACTTTACTATTAAGACTTAAGTCTCTGCTGTGACTTCCCTTCACATTTTACTCAGCTATGAGCCTTTCCGATGACTTTGTTTGCGGACAATTCATGGAGCGGGGGGGGGGGGGGGGTTAATCGTTTTTGAAAAATCATTGTTCAATTGGAGACTTTCACTCCATTGACACAAACTTGAGATAAAAACGAAGATTCTGATATTACGGAAAATTCTCTACGAGCTGAAATGCTTTTCGTGCTTTCAGCGTTTCACGCGCGTGATAAACATGAAGGCGAAAGGTGAGTGTGAAATATAATATTTTATTCTGGATGCTATGGTGTTATAAAAGGCTGCTTTGAAAAATCAACGATGCGGAGATGTAGCCATAGATTTAAATTTTCTAATGATTACCAAAACTCCTACGAAAAATTCATGTGCAGCGAATGAGAACAGCTGGAAAATTTGTCACCCCTAACATAGAAGTGCCATAGTGTAATAGTTTCAACGTCTTGAAAGCTAGATACAGCGATTCGTGGAAAGTGCACATCACTTAGGCAGTCGCTTTCTTTCATAAGTTGTTTTAGTTTTCCTCATTGCTATCATAGTCTAAATAAGAACATATCGATGGTTTCTTAGCCGTTGTTTTTTTACATTAAGTTTATGACAAAATTCCGAGTGAAGATAATGAGGAGGAAATGGTGGAAAGCAAGAAGGAGATCGAAATCCAAGCGGTTAAAACTGACGTAATGAGAATGGAATGTCGATGAGTGCAACCAATTTCGCCGCTGTTCAAACTTAACATGAAATCTGTTGTACTACACTGACCACCTAAGAGTTATCAGAGTTTGAGTCCAGAAAAACGAGGTTATCGAACAAATTGACGTGGGAAATTCATTGATATTGCATAAATGTCAAATGAATTCAGAAGAGAACTTCGTTTAAAATTTTCGGACTGAGATTATTGAG